CCCCAAAACCCCAAAACCCCAAAACCCCAAAACCCCAAAATAGAATAATTCCTGAAATACTTAAATTAATTGCTCAAGATGGTCTCCCTGCTAAGCCAAGACCATAAACGAGGTAATCTTATACTACACAAAGAATAGTTGAAGCACTGAATTTACTGGCTGCTAGTGGATAAGCTGTGATTAAATTCATTGTTCATTTGTGGGGGCGCTTGCTTTGGGAGGAAGAATAGTAGATTTAAGGTCAAATTGGATAGCTGGTGGATCTGGTGTAATTTTGTATTTAGGTGAGATGGAAATTGTTAGTCATTATGGAAGAGAGAGACTGAGTAGCAGAGATTTAGGAAGTTTGGAATTGCTTGAAGCCTCGCAACATTTCTTATTACAAAACCAAGACCTACACAAGCTAGAAGCCAAGCTAGATTGCTTCTTAGGCGAAATTATTTTTACCAAGCATGAAATCCCAAAAGCCATTCATAATATGTCTTTCAGATTTGAGTACTCTGTCGAATCTAATTATATTAAAGATACGGACTTTGTTAAGCATAGACCTCATAAATTCGAGCAAGTTATTTTGCTTTCTACAGTCCGAGTAAGACTTCTGTCTAAAGTGATGATGATTTTCACAAAATAATCAAACCAAAATTAAGATAAAAACCTTTAATAATCCTTCAGCCTTTAGACAGAAGATTGTCATTAATAGTTTGATAAGCAAAGTACACTCAATTAAAAAGCTTCAAATTAGGCGTTTAACTATTTCTTCCAAGCAATTTGTTCACATCCTACTAAGTGGTGCTTCACTTAAAATTTTTGAAATCCTTGATTGAATAATAAATGGTCCTATTCTCAAGATCACTCACAGCAAAAGATCTTCAAATCTCAAGAAAATAGATATTTGGTGGAAGAACGTAACTCCTGACAATTATTCAGCCCTAAGTGCTCTATCTACACAAAAGCCTGCTCTAAAGCAAGAGACATTAAAGACAGACTACTACGAAAAGATTTTCTCAAACATCAGCCAATGCCCTTGCGTTGAAACCTTATCCAAAGTGACCGTCTATTGGTCGAGCCTCCAAAAGATAGCCATTGATGAGCTTCAAAAGAAATATGCGCACTGTAAAGTTGAGTTTACTCCGTCCTAGCCCACGATCCTCCATATTTCTACTTAGCCTACACAACATTCAGCCTATTATTTATCAAGGGGTTTTGGGGTTTTGGGGTTTTGGGGTTTTGGGG